CCTGAGGGTCACATGAGAAGCAGATCGCAGAGGTCACAAGAACATCACCAAAGTGTCGGAGATGCGCCCAGCATACGCCCTTGCTGGTTACCGAGTCTGTCGACCAGGTGACGAAAGCAGGGCGAGCCGCCACGCTCAGGTCAACTCGCTCAGGAGTTCGATAACCCTTCTCTCCCCCACCCAGTTTGCGGATGTCGGCATGATAATTACTCGCCTGCATCCTGCCCACGCAACCGATTCGCCTGCTCAGGCAGCGTCTCAGTACAGAATATGACAGCGGCAAGTCTTTGCGCTACACCCCACAAGGTGCTAGTGGTTAAGCTTTCGACAGCGGAGGAGGAGGGTAGGGGCTCAAAAATGGCCCCCTCAAAAAGTTTAATCAACAACTTACCGCCTCGGAGGAGGAGGACTGTTGAGTCGCTGCTTGAACAGACTCACTGCTAGGTTGATCCGCTCCGGTGCGTGCAATCGGTCGCAATTCACCGTACTTGCGCAAATGGATGCGACATGCAGAACAGAGGAATCGTAGTTGGCTGCCAGACTGCTGCAAAGTACATGGATGCATATAAGGGCAAGGTGAGAGGCCAACACATTAAGGAGAACACAAGCCGATCGACAAGGTTCAGTAAAAAAAAACGAAAATGAGATAGCAAACGAGAGCAGCAATAAACGGAGGAAGAGGGGGGGGGGTTAGAGGAGGCATGTGTAGGAAAGGAGAAGGTGGCAGAGGGAAGGAGGCAAGAGGAAGCAGGAATGAAAAAAGAAGGGGGAAGAGAAGAAGGAAGGAAAGAGTAGGAGGAGCAGGGGGACAGTGGAGGAGGATGAGAAGGAAAGTGTAGGAAGCGATGGGGACAGCGGGAGGGAGGCAAGAGGAGGAGGCAGGAGTGAAAGAAGACAGGGAAGGAGGAGGGAGGAAGGATAAAGGGGCAGGAATGAAAGAGGGGAAGGAGGCGGAAGCGGAGGAAAAGGAGAAGGACGCAAAGAGAGGATGAGAAAGAAAAGGCACGAGTAAAAGGAGAAATGGGAGGAGATGGAAGGAGAAAGAAGAGGCAGGAGTGAAAGGATAACGGGGAGGGGTAGAAGGTGAAGGCGGTAGAGGAAGCAGGTTTGTGAGGAGAGGGAGGAGGTAGATAGTGTGAAGGAAGAAAGAGGAGGCAGGAGTGAAATAGTAATGGGGAATAATAGGAGGAGGTATAGGAAGCAGGTGTAGGAGACGGAGACAAGAGGAGAAGGTAGGAGTGAAAGGAGAAGGGAGAGGAGACAGGAGTGAAAGAATAATGGGGAGGAGAATGAGGTAGAGCAGGCAGGTGTAGGAGGAAGGGGAGGATTTGGTAGGAGGCAGGAGGAAAGAGGCAGGAGTAGGGAAAGGATGATAAGGCGGTGAAGGATAAGGAGGAAGCTGGTGTAGGAGGAGAGGGAAGAAAAGGAATGGGACGAGGAGGGAGGAATAAGACGGGGAAGGAGAAGGAGTAGGAGAATGAGGAGAAAGGGGGAGAGGGAGGGTGAAGAGGGAAGACGACGACGAAGGGTACTAAGATACAACACAACGGAAAAATAACCACGCATCACACCGAATGCGAAAGATTGCCACCAGTGCCGGTGCCGCCACCCACAGAGGATAAAGAGGGGGAGATCGGATCCGAACAATTGCGACAGATTCGTTGCTTTGAAGCTGGCGGCGCGTCTGCATTGGCCTCGTTTGCCGCGCCGGCGTCAGAGGAGGCA